ATGTCCGCCTGCCCTGCCACTCCTCATACATACCTCCCGAGGGCCTCACACGGGCCTCCCACTGGTCTCGTCGCCTTCACTCGCCATGCCTCGGACGTCCATTTCCTGTATTGTTTTCGGTTTCGTGCGTGGCTTTTTCGCCAAATGGTCAAGGAATCTCCTCGATGGCCCTCGCCGAAAAAAATGCACACGTCCGAGCGATGCCAGGCTTCACCGAGGACGGGGCTCGCGAGGGCTTCCTGGAGTCCCTTCAAGAGCTCGCCGACGAGGCCCAGGGTGCCCTCCGCCGCGACCCCAAAGCACAGGACAGGCTAGAGGCTCCAACAGCCTCCAACTGCTCGATAGATGCCAGGGACGACAGGTACTACATTGACCGCCCTCAAGACTACAAGGATGATGCTGCCTCGATGGTGCCCCGCAAGACACACAGAAAATACATATTCCTCCTCAACTTGTTCTCCAGTCTGGAAAGATGTTGGGACGTCCAGTCCCACATAGAGGCCACGCTGGTGCTGCCAGGTCATCATGCGTTCGGTGGATATTGCGATCCACCATCTAGAAGGTGATTGAACCCACGAACACAATAGCTGAGTGGGCTGAAGCAATCAAGCACACAGGGTATGGAACACGGGTGCCCCCCCCCCCCAATGTGAAACATGGTGTGCTGCAAGGTGGCTGGAGGGGGGGGCCCCCTCCATTGCGCACAAACGAACACACGTGGGGTGTACCGTGGGCTACACAGCAGCAGCAACAGCGGTTGGAGACGAGCAATGTGTTATTATTTGCGTTTGTGACGTTGCTTGGAGAGCGCCTGATTGCAGGCACCAGCGGCTGGGGTGGGCATCCACAGCCAGCAATGTGGCGGGCCCAAGCTCCTGCAACGTTCATGTGGGGGCCACTCCACGGCCTAGCACCGGCCCCCATGGCCTCGACTACTGACTTCGACCGGTGTGTATGTTCCAGGGCGCTGATCCAGCCGAAGTAGGTCTGGCTCCAACACGTGTGCTTGCCATTCGTACACCAAATATGCACAAGCAGCTTACACAACACAGCAAGGTTCAGCGCACGCATGGTAAAACAGTACCCGTATGACGTTGCTGGGGAAGTCTGCTGACGGTCGGCTCCGTACGGGTAGCAACAACAAAACAGATCCCCCCGCGTGTGTGCAGCCATGGCTCAGAGTATTCTCTTCTCCGTTCAGGCAAGTTCGAATTCCAGGCTCCCGCTCGTCACTGATCCCACCGGACTATCCTGAGGATTACATGACGTGTACGCTGAGTTCGATCCAGAGTTTGAGTTCAATATCGCCCCCGAGTTCGCGAAGAAGCTGCAATAACCAAAGAGCCGATCCCGAGCTGAGTAGACGGGATGGTGTTCGCCGCCCTCCCCCCGCTGCTGCTGCTGCTGCTGCTGCTGCTGCTGCTGCTGCTGCTGCTGCTGCTGCCTCTCCTCCCTCGCCCATCCCTCCGCCCGCGCCTGCCCCACTAGAGGGTGTGGAGCGCCCGTGCGAGGAAGGCCCTGCTGCTCGAGGAGGCCGGGGGAGCGGTCCCCTCCTCGTCGTCTCCTCCTCATCCCCCACCACCGCCATCAGAGATCACCGACGAGCCGAAGGCTCGACCTCAGGCGAATCGCGAAGCTGCCAGAGCATTGCGCCATGGGCGTCGCGCCCAGTGGTCCTTCGCATCCACACGATGGCCCGAAGGTCAGAAATCTTCTCATGGGTTTGCGCCCAGAGCCAGTCTCCCCCTCTGCTGGTGCTTTCCCACAGGAGTGCAGAGCTGTGAGTCCACCACCTCCTCCTCCTCCTCCTCCTCCTCCTCCTCCTCCTCCCTCCTCCTCCTCCTCCTCCGCTCTCCTCCTCCTCCTCTCCTCCTTCCTCCTCCTCCTTCCTCCCCCTCCACTCTCCTCCTCCTCCCTCCCCTCCTCCTCCTCTCCTCCTCTCCTCCTCCTCCTCTCCTCCTCTCCCCTCTCCCTCTCTCCTCCTCCTCCTCCCCTCCTCCCCCCCTCCCCCTTCCCCCTCCTCCTCCCCCATCCTCCTCCCTCCTCCTCTCCTCTCCCTCATCCTCCTCCTCCTCCTCCTCCCTTCCTCCTCGACTGTATCCGCTGCTCTCCCTCTCTCTCTTCCCCGTGCTCTCTCTCTCTCTCTCTCTCTCTCTCTCTCTCTCCCCCGCTTTTGCTTTGTGCCCTTCCTGCCCCCCTCTTTCACCTGCCCCTCGCTGGTATCCACATCCATCCATCCTTGCCCCGGTGCTTCCCCATCATTTGTCCCTGGTCACCCGCAGAGTCCGCTTGTGCGGACTGGGAGTGGGCCAGAACCCCATCCGTTAAGGTACGGCACGACGCGTGCCCCCAGCAGGGCTCGCTGTGCTCCTACACCCCCCAATGGGGCACTTCATGATTCAAGCAGGAGCGATCCGAAGCTCGCTGCGGGCCGTCAGGCCCGCAAAGGTGGCTGCTCGTTCAATGCCCAACCACCTGGGGACCTTCCACCCCTCAAGGAAGCGTAAAGTCTCAGAGTCCTCCCCCTCCCTCCCGCCCCCAGGGCGAATCCTGTTCGGTCGGGCGGTGGGGCAAATGCGCCCGGCGACGACACGAAGAAGCTCGCGCCCTTCTTCTTCAGGCCCTGTCGGAGAGGCGCCGCGCGGGGTTGGTGGGTGCAGGATGAAGAGGCGGAGAGGGGGACCACGATGAGCAAGCACAGTGGATGGGAGACAGGAGGCAACGATGCAGGAGAGAGGCGTGAAAGGAGAGGAGCGGCGCCAGGGGCGAGGGGACGGGGGCCCCACGCAGGAGACGGGATGACGCAGGGAAGCTCCGACGAATGAGGTGGGCGAGAAACAAGGAAGGATGAAGGAGGTGGAAGGAGGGGGAGGAGGGAACACACAAGAACGCGAGGAGATGACCGAGCCCCTGGATGTGGAGTGATCCAACAGCAGCGTCGCCCATGGCGTCACACCCTGGCTTCGGGCGCGGGGCCACTCTGTGTGCGAGTGCGCGTCCTGCGTGCAGGCACCGGCTAAGCAGGAGCATTGAAATATTGTCGAGGCTGGGGAGCCACGAGGACCAAGCGTATGGACCGCGAGTGCTCCAACAGCAGCGCTGCCCAGGACGTCGCACCAGCGGCATTGGGTGCGGAGCCAGTGTGTGAGTGAGTCTTTTTCCTGCAGGCGCCAGCCAAAAACAGGGACATCGAACGATTGCCGAAGCTCAGCAGTCACCGCCAGCGATCATGAGCGGCCAACATGTCCACATCGACGCCCCCGCGGTCTGGATTACAAGGCGCGATCCCGTCGATGCGCGGTCGCATGCATACGTTCCGCGCGAAGAAGCATCCGCGAAGCTATGCCCCGGATCCCTGTGATCGCGGCCCAAGAGCCTGGCCCGCGAGGCTGTGGATATGGGTATTGTTTCCTGCCCACGCAAGAAAACATGCCGCGGAGGAGGAGGAAGAGGAGGAGGCAAACGCACACGTGAAAACATGAGTTGCACTTCTTGAGATGTGCGTGTCCTCTTGGCGCATGGGCCATGCAAATCTCCTCTGTATCGTTCCAACGTTAGCGGGTGATCCCCGACAGGAGCACCCGCGGAGGAGGAGGAGGAGGAGGAGGACGAGGCGGCAACCCTCCGAGAGGAGAGGGGCGAACGCAGGCGGCCAAGCCCAAAACGAGAAGCAGGGCAGGCGTCCTCGACAGGCTCGGCGGCAGCGGCGGCAGCGGGTGGGCGGCCAGTCCTGCCTTGCACAACTTGTCGCGCCGCGGGCGTGGCGGCGGCGAGCCCCCGTGCGAGAGAGAAACGAGCTTACTACGATTACACCTGCCATGGCACCTCAAAGGTATTATGTGAAATGTCGACCGCGACAGCGATGCAGATAATTTCCGAACGAAAGAAATACCTGGGACCCCCCGGAATGAAACCAGCAGAAGGAGGACCAGGAGGAGGAGGAAGTGGGAGAGGAGGAGGAGGCGGAGGAGAAGGAGGACGCTAAACTAGCCCTTGACCGCCAAAGCAATTGGGGCGCGTCGAGAGCAGCGCGCAAACCGGCATCAGGTCGGCCACGACATACCTCGCACCTTCAGTACCCCTGCATTTCCCATGCCGTGCACCCCCTCACACTTGAAGATATGTACCTCTTATACTTCGTTTCGAGGAAGTCCTGGGCACAAGTATCACCGTGGAGGCGAGTCTCCGACCTCGCGGCTTCGACAAGAACGAGTGCGTCTTCGACCTGGCGGCTTCGACATCTACACCGCACGCACACCACGAGTATCACATACCAGGCCATTTGGGTCAGACGACTCCACACTGAAGGATGTATCGGGCGCCAGAGCCTTCTCTGAACGTTCCAGAATGCTCTGAGCGTGCTGGAACGCTCTGGGGCAGATGTATCCTCGTCCTAGCCGCGTCCGACATGAGCAATGCGCACGGTGCGCTGAGCATCTCCGCCGACACTGTCCACCAACTCCTGCGCGACCCACACCTTCTGATTGCGGGCGGCCTCTCAGAGCCTGGGCTCCCCCCGCTGACAGAACCAGCACTGCCCCCGAAGGAAGGCCAGGAAAGGGAGGAGGCAGAGACGAGGCGGTCGCGGAGTGCGCTGCTCTGCGGGGGCCTTCTGGCGGTTCCGGATGACCGGGTTGTCCCCGAGAGCACCAGACCCCTCGCAGCGGGCCGACACGATGCGCTCCCTATCTTCCTCGATCGCTCCGCAATTTTCCTCTACCTCGCTTCTTTTTCTCCCTCCTCCTCTTCCTTCCATCTCCTTGCTCGACTACAGCTGCCTCGTCCGCCTCGTCTTCGTCCTCTGGCCTCTCCTCATCATCCTCGTCACCCTCATCTCCCTCCCCCACTCCTTCCTTTCCCCTCCTCCCCCCCTCTGCCCACTTCCCCACCTCCGCTCTCTTGGCCCTCCTCTCGCCCTTCTCCTACTCCTCCTCCTCCTCCTCCTCCTCCTCCTCCTCCTCCTCCTCCTCCTCCTCCTCTATGCCTTCTCCTTCTAGGTAACTTCTCGCTGTCGCACCCCGAGGCCAGTTTTTTAAGGCGGGCCGGGCGTTTCGCCTGAGACTTCCTCACCGTTTATGACCTTGAGGCTTAAACGTTGGCAAGAGCTCCACAGATGGAAGGCGGGTGGTTTTCAAAATGCGGTTCTCGCGTTAACGCCGCGCACATCCGTTTTCAAACATTGCAGGAATTTCACAGATGGAGGGCGAGTGGTTTTCAAAATACGGCTCTCGCGTTAGCGCCGCGCACATTCGTGAACAATCTGTGCAAGAGGGAGCTGTACGGGGAGGCCCCTACTCGTCCTCCTGCCCTCTCCTCCGACGCGCACGGCGGGGGCGGCCGTGCTGCGCGAGCCCGCGCAGACGAGGGCGACTCGGCCCACCAGCCTCCCGCAGCCTGTCTATGGCGAACTTGGTGGGCGGAAAGAACTGCCCAACGAAAGTGAGGCAAGAGAACCCGTAGACATTGAACATAGCAATACTCTTGACCAGTTCCAAGAAGAAAGAAACGTTTGATACACTTGGCCCTCCCCTCCATTTTCCGAACAGGTCCCTCCCAGCTCATAGCTTGTGCCTCCCACCCAAGAGTAATCACAAGATGCCTAGCAGCAGTAACGAGGAGGGAATTGCCGGAGCGGATTCCCATTCCTCGGAGACGATGTTTAAACTCTTCAATCGTGGGCCTGCTGAAGACGACGACGACGACGACCGTCTTCTTCAAATGCATCAAGAGACCTGCGGCACCTGCAGCCACCAACCATACCTCTAGGGCGAGCGAGATCGCCTGGTAGATGTCCCTGAAAACGAGCCCGACGTCGTCGGCGAAGGCCCGCACGAGGCCGAGGTGTGATTTTACAGCACATCATCCTGAGGATCAGGTCCATGGCCAGGGCAAAAATCGATCCAGATAAAGAGCACCCCTATTTGATCCCCCGCTCCTGCCAATACCAGTGGCCTCTGAGACCGGAGGAGCGGGGAGGAGCAGGAGGAGGAGTAGGAGGAGGAGGAGGAGGAGGAGGAGGAGGAGGAGGAGGAGGAGGAGGGAGGAGGAGGAGGAGGGGGGAGGAGGGGGAGGAAGGGGAGGAGGAGGGGAGGAGGAAGAGGATGAGGGGAGAAAGGAGGGGGAGGAGGAGGAGAGAGCGGGGAGGAAGGAGGAGGAGGAGGAAGAGGATAGTGAGGCCGGACGATAGGGGCGTGGAGGAGGATTCAGGGGGAGTGGGACATCAGTCAGTCACGAATGGGAGAGAAAGGGGGGGGAGGGGGAGGGATGGGAGGGGGAGGGGAGGGTCCGACAGCGGGGGGTCACCGTGGGGGCGGTGGGTCTTTTTTTTTGGGGGGTGGTGGCAGTCCGTTTCCCACAACCCCACCCGCTGTACCCGTTGCATGTAACCGGTAGGGGGTAGGCGAGAGATAGAGACGAGTAGGAGGAAGCCGAGGAGGAGGCGGAGGAGGGAGGAGGGAGGAGGAGGAGGAGGACGTGAGGAGGGGAAAGGGAGGAGGAGGAGGAGGGAGAGGGGAGGAGGAGGAGGAGGAGGAGGAAGAGGAAGGGCAGGAGATGAGGTCCGAGTGGACAGGGTCGGAGGATCGCGCCGCATCGGCAATGCACTGGCGACGTCGGCAGTGCATCGGCGACGTCGGCGTGGGGAATCACGGACTCCACATCGAGCCGCATCGCCGATGCATCGGCGATGCGGCGCGATCCCCCGACCCCATCTACTCGGACCCCATCTAGGAGGCCTAGAAGCCAGGTCCCAGGATGCCAAGGCTTCGGGCAGCTCACAGGATTCGGCCAGGAGCGGATCGGGACCAGGAGGGGACCTCAGCTTCCAGAGCGGGTCACCGAGGCAACAGTGCGCCTGGTCATCACATAGTTCTGGACGCCCGCGAAGGCAGGGCTACGCGGCCACTGGCAGCAAAACCGACTCGGGATGAAAAGCCAGTCCAGGGGAGGTGGTCGATATCCCCGGGGGCCGACGCCATGAAAAACATGCAACGCTGGAGGAGAGGGTCTGTCGGGGCGGACGAGAGGGGTGATAGCGAGAGGGGGAAGCGAATCGGCAAGCGTGATTGACTAGTCTCTCCGTCGCCCCCCTGGCACCAGAGGCGACCATGTTGTCGCGGAGTGTGCCCAAAGGGGGGCGGAAACCCGCTGCACGCAGCAGATGTCGCACTCCCCCTTTCTACCAATCCTCCCCACTCGTCCGATCCGACTCCTGGAAGCCTCTGGGGCCCCCCTTGGAGCCATACTGAACTGACAGACTGGGGGGGGGCCAGATATCTGCATGGACCCAGTGGCCCACATGATGTTCACAAAGGTCGCTTCTCTCGGGGACCTGCGCAGAGCGAGCTCGGAGATAGATCGGCCACCGCGACGCCGTATCTGGGCCCACTGGGTCATCCAGCAAGGGCCTGTTTGGCCGTCTTGGGGAACTCCTGGATCCCTCACAGGCTAGTTGTTGTCCTTGGCGCCGTGCTGGGCAACCGTAAGGCCCCCGGAGGCCTC